CTTTGGTTTGCCTTTTTCTTTTTTACTTGAGGATTCCGAGTTGGAGCTTGTCTCGTGACGCAATTTGGTGATTTCCACAATGTGTGGCCCGTCTGTGTTGTGCGTCTTTTCCTTATTTCATCTTCAGCTATACGTTGGCTTGTTCTCTGACACAGTTGGTTGTTGCTGATGGTGTCTGATCAATTGATATAGAGTATCTTGCATAAATAACTTTTTATAAGCATCTGTACCTTGGTCTTTATGGTTGTAATAGTTCTCCAGGTTTTAGCTTCGAACAATGGAAATGTCTTGATATTAATATTGAAAACTCTGAGTTTATTGTTGCCTGATATCTGTTTTGAGTTTCAGTTGTTCACTAATTGTAAGAAAGCCGCCCTAACCTTTCCGATCCATGCCTTCACATTAACATCAGATCCATCTTGTTTACCTATGATACTACTCAGTCACATAAAAATTGCGACCTCTTACAGAACTTCACTATCATGTATGAATTGGTTGCTACTCACTGTTATCTTTTTCTTCCTTTGTGAATGTTGTGGTCTATTGATGAAGTGACTTCTGTTACACTGGTTGTTTTGACCTTCATTTTTTTGGTGTATATGATATAGAAGTGCTAGGTCATTTGCAAAGTCCAAATCGTCTAGTTGCATCCAAGCTGTCCTTTGTATTCCTTGCTTTCCCTCAAATGTAGGGGTCTTCATAATCAAGTAAACCACCAGAAGAAATAAAAAGAGGGAGTAAGAAGCCTTGTCTGACAGCGGTCCTCAATTATAATACACCTGTCAGTTGTCCTCCATGCACCACATTGCAGTGTAGTCCGTCAAAAATATTCCGTATCATGGTGATAATCTTCTCAGACATACCGCATTGTCAAAGAACTTTTACAGCTTTTTCTACCAACTCTATCAAACGTTCCCTCATAGTCAAAGAACTTGACGTATAGCGATGAATTTCATCCAACTGATTACTCTCTGTATATATATATATATATATATATATATATATATATATATATATATATATATATATATATATATATATGGCAACCACTGAAACAAACCTTTGAATTTCTTCACAATTCTTTTTTCATTTATTATGCATACCAAACTCATTTTCAACAAACACAGTCCTCGTATAAAGTACGTGCATTGTTGTTAACCTTTACATTGTTATTTGTTTCTCGATTGTAAGTACTTGAAAGAAATAAACGAGCAAAGTGGATTCCTATTATTCTGTCACGATTTTCATTTTCTTTTTTCTCTATTTAACTAGATAATTACTTAACTAATTAAGTATTTCTTTCTTTTGAAATATATTTTGTGTGTGCATTTAGATTAAAATATAACTGACTCATTAAACCGCTCATAACAATATTGAATATCTAAATGTATAATGCACAAATGGATAATATCTGAATGTAAGCTGAATAATTATTACCAAATTGAGTGGTTCTGTGAGACATGTGTAAACGAAAGGTGGTTTTAAAGGTCTTAAGTTCTTTGATTAGAACGGTTGAGTTTTGAAGCATTCTTTTTTTTTCCAGGAAAAATCATTACCACTTACTCCAGAGAGAAATTAACTATTCAATCATATTTAATGTAATCCAAATCATCAATAACTTAGGAATCCTAAACAAACTTACAATTCCTTTTTTTTTAAAGACTCATATTACCATCTGAATAGTTCAAGACTAGTTCACCACATAAAATTGAATTCGATGATTATTTATTGATTTTTCCGTGTATCACTTACTTGTTCATAATAAATGGCTATATGTAGTAAAATTGTCTACGTCTGTATACTTCCATTTATAATCTATTCATTTAGCTAACTATTGTTAGGCCTAAAGACGAACAGTTCGAGGTAAACCACGAAACTATTGTAATTTCCTCCCTATCTAGCTATTTTTAGTTTGTATTCAAGTTAAAATTTCTAGATAATTCTTATCTCAACAAGTTTGTAGACAAAACACAGAACAAATTATGAAGGAAATTATACAACAGATAAATCCTTGATTTAGTACAGGTGAGTTTTACAATTTCATATCTTTTATTGTGAGTTCAACATAACACAATAATACAAAAGAAAGCCATTTCTAGTGTTATCTATGTGCATGCTAACTAAAACCTGTATTCATCAACTGAATTAAACTTTCATTACATAGCCAATTCTAAGTTATAAGATCTCCTAAACTATTTGTCGCAGTATAAATTATGTAGAAAATATACGATTGTAATTACTAAGAATTATTCTATTTCAAATAAAAGTTTTCTTTCTTTGTATTGCTCACTTTATCATTCAATAGATATTATTCTATGATTCTGAATGTCTTTTATTAATTCCATTTCATTTCTTATATGGACTAATTACTCTAAAAAAGATAAATTCGAAAGTATTACAAACATAATCAAAAAGTGAATTAAATTCGAACTTATTAAAAACTTGAATGATAAATATAAAATTAGTTAGATTTCTGATGAACATCCAGCTTCCTTTTAGTACTGGAGGTAATTTAATTCACCTTCAGATAATTATAAACTTTATTCTCAGTAAAATATTAATAAACTGGTTCAGAATAAGTCTAAATGGTAATTCCTAGTGTAATTCAAGTATAATAATTGAATGTATGTCATGATTTAGAATAAGTTCTAAACCACATTGGCTTGAAAGTTGACTATTTCATTGGGGTTTTGAGTGTTACAACAACAACAACAAAAATCCTCTCTGTAAAAATTATTCACCAAGTAATTTAGTTATAAGATAAAGTTACTGTAATATTTTTATGCATATTGGTACATATTTGAGTTGACTTTTTGATTAATGTTTTAGTAAAAGAAACATTCATACAGAGCTAATATTTGTTATACTATACTTAATACTTATTTAAAGTTAGTCAATTATCAGTTTAATCAAACAATTTCTTGATAAATAAAATGATTTTCTAATAATTGAATTATCTGTCTAAACCCTTACAGTTGCTTGTCTTCTGTGGTAAAAGATATTTCGATAACTGTTTAATGAATGAAAATAATTACACAGATAAATTGGATCCAGTTATATACTTTGGTAATAATAATAATAATAATAATAATGTTAAATTAAGTTGCTTCAAAATTAAGTAGGCGAAGATAATAACTTTAGGTAACATGATGTTTATTTGAACCATGCGATGTATTGACCGGATACGACTCAGACAATGTGGTCACATATTTACTTGCTAATATATTTATATTTGAAAGATAAGGCTCAAATTAAGCAAATTAAAGGAAAAGAAAAACAAAGATAATAAGGGAAAACAATATAAACTATGAATAGCAAAACAATCATATTAGGTTAGGTTTGATTTAATTACAAGTTGATTTTGAATTAAAGAGAATTTGAACTTTTTTTTAATGATTAATTCTGCATAATAAATATACACTTTAAACAACATTTTTACAAAATCATAAAGACCGAGTTGTGATCAATCCTATTGTTGATTTCAATTATGAGTTCGATGATAGAAAAAGACGGGTGTTTATCATATACTATTATTGGGTCATTTCACCGTTTGTTTTTTTCTACCTTTTTGGTACATGATCAATTATCCTCTACCTTTCATATCACGATTTCTCCTCTCAATGTATGTTTGTTCATATACATGTAAATTGATAAACATAGAGGGATGTGATTCAGGCTATTTAGGTTTATTGTGAAGCATGAACTACATAAATGATTTAATTATTCAATCAACACGAGGCTATTTGACTCTCTTTTGAATGCTAGAGTGATGTAGATGAGTATTTCAGATGCGAGAATCACAATATATGACACTAAATTGCGGTTTCATCGATTTATGACATTCGGTAGGTAAACTTCTTTACCTCCAATGTTTCTTTTAGGGGCTCCATCTCATCCTTAGTAGTATGGTCTGTACACATAAGTTGGTTCTATTCAACAGGCCCTTTTTGAAGCCTGATTGTATTTATAAAGGCCATCACCAAGTGACAGAAATGCTGTCTGTCCATGTAGTCTTTCTATATACGTATCGTTTGGCTGAACCATTTCTGCCACTTATAAGTAAATCTGGGAGCCAAAACTGACTATTTGTCTCCTCTTCACGTAAAAGCCTACTGGGATTTTGGAGTACGCTAAGTTATTTAATAAACAGTTTGCGTCTTCGGTTTTATCACACCTGTCCATGATGCCATCCACATGCCATTTATAAGATACACATTTTTCATACCCTGACACTCAATTTTTGATGATTACGTGACGTCGTTCCCTCCAAAATAAAAAACTTATATTGTCTCTTTATTCGACGACATGACAGCTATCGCAAACAAATTTCCATGATTGGAAGTTTTTCTAAAATATAACTATGTTACTTAAATTTTGAAAGTAGTTTATCGTATTGTTGATATCAAAATTTGTAACAAATCTGTAACGTTAAAAACTCAAATATATTATCTAGCAGTTATACAAATTTCGACTATAATATTGAGGAAATTACCATATTGATGGAATAAGTAAATTACTATTTTACTTTTCGCCCGTTGATCTGTAATGTGCGTTTAAGTTGGATAGTCTGAAGAATTCTACAAGAAGCTCTAGGCTTAGTTTTTATGTTATTACTCGTTTACACGCATGAGTGGCCATAATTTACACCACCCGTTGTCACAGTCAAAACATTGCCATTTAGATATTCTATACCGATCACGATAACGGTCCATTAAATCTGATGACCAGACAGCTAGAAATTGATCGGTACAAAAACTACATGACATCAGTTATTATTCACTAACTGATTAGTGGATTCTGAGTTGCTTATCAGAAAAATTTTAATAGAAATTCGAATAAAAGATATGCTGGTAAATTCACGCTTAAATCCAGATGGGATATTTGGAATAAGAAGAAACCTACGTTAGTACTGTAATTAAAACAATTGACCAAGAGGCACTGTAGTTTAAAATAAAAAATTTAAACTAATTCAAAACTAACTTCAAAAAGACTATCACTAGTCATTTAAATAGCAGTAAAAGACTAACCAGTGGTTTAAATAGTCCTTGTGACAGTAATCTTTGTTGCTGCATGATTACGCTGCTAGTTTTTCGTATTCCTAATGCGTTCTTGAATTTCCGATTAGTGAATGCATATAGAATTGGATTATAGATAGCTGCCATTTTAGCAAATATATGAGGCATTTCAGCTATTGTTGGTGTTAAAAAATATGATTGACCCATAATTGATATAAGGCAGACTATGGCATATGGTGTCCATGACATTAAATAAAATAAGAGAGAAAGTATAACTGATTTGGTAGCTTCAATATCTAAACGTTTTCTGTCTGGTTATAGGAAACAAGCAAAAAATATATATTCAGTAGGTTTAATGATTTTACGTATATTTTGATCGTCGACAAAACTCACATTTGAGCGAATTTGTAACTATTATAACAAGGTACTTAATTTCATTTCTTTTTTAGACTGGAACTTATTATTTAGTTAGGAAACTCAGAAAATTCATGTATCTATTGACTATTGCTTAACCTTGTGAAGTGCCAACACTGTATATTTGGAAATATTCGACCACTAACTAAAACGTTTAAACGACTAGCAAAAGTTTGATTTTGATCATTAAAGAATATAAGAACACAAGAACACACTCGCATCACTATTAATATTGGAATAAACATCAGTATTACCTAAATAGGCAGTATAACCTTTTGCTAAGTAAATATAAAAGAGAATAGTCTCTGCTTTCTGTTAATATCTTAACAAATTAAATTATTATTCCGTAGGTATATTTGTAAATTAATATTAAGTTAAATTTTATAATTCGTTTTTTTAATTTGGGTTTCATAAATGATGAATATAAACGGTTGTCATCTGTTCTAATCGAATTGCTGGAGTGCATCTGATAGCCTCTTATACGTGTGTTTAATTATCTTTAAAAATGTCTAGTAATTTTTCATATTGATTTTTTGACGTACACTCATCGATTGACAAAATAATGGTAAACAATACCAGTGAGTTCAAGAATGATTTTTAATGGAGATCTAATCCAAAACATGCAAAATAAAACAGTATAATTCCAAACAAATCACGTATTATCTTTAATTCGACTAGACCTAAACTGAATATAGTGACTTATATATTATTAAAACCTTACCATTACCTTGTATTGCATATCCGTGTTGTATAAAACAATACTGTCATATTCAGAAATTTATTTTTCTTTAAGGGCTGAGTTGACTAGCCCTAATTTGTCAGCAGAGATAACTCAGTCATTGATGTCTAAGACTGCAATTAATCAGTCTCTTATTGGCATATATGTATCCTGTGCGAACAGCCTCGATATTGCCTTAAGTCATAAGCACTATAAATAGAGATGATGGTGGCTAGCGGTGGAATCCAGGACGTGCGTTTGAAGTGAACGGTTCAAGTCCCGAAATAAACATCAACTAGGGAGTAGGTACATCCAACTGACGAATCTTGAATAGGATTCCACCGCTAGACATCGTATTGACACCATAAATTCAATTTATTTCCGCAATTATTTCTAGGGCAAAAACTTTTTATAACAGAGTCTACTTACTTCGTATGGATTTATGTTGTTTCGCTGAACCATCATTAGATAAAGATATTAATACTATCCTTTCATTGTTATGAACAACTTTAAGTAGATTCACATAACAATATATGCATAAAAGCACTGGAAACGTAAAGCCAAATACATACATTCCACAACTGAATAAAAGATTAGGCATATCATTCGAAATATAATCAAATGTACATGATGTTTGATATCCTTCAAGAACGTAACGTCCTAAGCACAAGTAAAATATTCAGCAATAAATATACTGACTTTATTTTATTATTTTTGACAACACTTCACTCTTAAACGCAAACAATGCAGAAAGTAAATTATGTAATTGGTTACGCAATATCTTGAAATTGAAACATGTATTTCAGTTGTTATTTTAGAAAAGAGAAATTTTACAAGGAATAATTTATGAAATAAATATTTATATTTTTAATTTTGATTACATAGTTATTTTAATGTTTCTTGAAATGTTTGGAATGTAATATACATTGCAGAATAGCTGTTTTGGAGCTATTCATTATTAAAATAAGGATGTTTATTAAACAGTCAATAATAGTAACATAATCTCATAAATCCCTGAAGATTTTCTTGTAATGTATATTTATTTCATTTTATTACCAAGTTAATTTGAATAAATAGAGTATTCGTAATTTAGAACAACCGCTTAACAACATAATTCTAATTAGATACATCTATCTACAGTCTTAAACCTCAAGGGGAAGATACAAGTCAAACAATACCAAGTGAATTCAAATTCACCCCATTGCACAAGCAAGTGGCTATCAGCATTCAGTAGCTGAGTGGATAACGCGATGGCGTTTGAAGTGAATGGTACTGGGTTCAAGTCCCAGAGTGAACATTAACTCAAATGCAGGTACATCCAGCTGCCGAGTCCCAAGTAGGACGAAACGCGCGTCCTGGATTCCACTGCTAGCCACTATCCATCATTGCTTACAAATAGCTTGTGAATTAAGGTAATATCAGGGCATACGTACAGTATGCATATATGCGAATAAGAAACTGATCAATTGCAGTCTTAAACCTCAATGGGAAGATACAAGCTAAACAATACCAAGTGAAGTATCTACATAAACATTGGGAAAATAGATTTGAATTTCATTGTATCTACCTCCAATTAAATAACATATTTGAGTAAATCGTCAATGAATTCATGCAATTTTTATAATAAAAAATAATAAGCACTAGATATAAATATATAACACTTTACAATATATTAAGTGACATTTATTTATTTATTTATTTTTATTCATTCACACACGGTATTCTTTGTAAACAAATCAACAATTAAACTGTAATTCATGTAATATCCAATGAGTATTTCTCGAAAGAAACCATGTACACCTTTTTGAAACCATATTACGTATTTCCTTATGACATTTGTTTATATTTCTATTTAAATGAGTTTGTTTTTTTAAAGTATAGAATACATAATGTGATGATAAGTTAGAATGAGTTTTAAGATCTTAACGTATGACCCAGTTTAACCTAGATAAAATGTGATGCGTAATGCCTGTCAAAAAAAAAACGATTATTTGAACTTACCATAACCAAAGAATGGAGGAATAGTCCATAATATTGACCATATCCATAAAAATCCTATAACAGTACAGATAATCAGAAAATTTTTCGTCTTATAGTTTTTAACTATAACTAAATAACGATCAAATGAAATTGCAGCAATAGTTGTTAAAGATAAAAATCCAAATGTAGCACTGATAAATCCATATAATTGGCAAGCTGAAAATAAAAAAATAAACTTCATAAAAGTTTATTTATATTTGGTATTGATTTAAACAAAATTTATATATTTTCAGTGAATTATTTCAAGTTCTACACATTAGACAGAATTCCCGGTTGTCATGTCTAAACAGCAAGACTAAAGATCCAACAGAGTAGATTTGTACATAATAAGAATGACACTTCCAGATATAAAATTAGCAACCGCTATATTAAAGATGGATTGTTTAATATTTATCAAAATAAATTAATTAAAGTCGCTTATTTTTTACAGGCCTTGAACCCATTATAAGGTTTATGATTCACTATTACACCTAACGTTTTTTCCCAAGAAATGCTCAATATTTTGACGAATCAAACATTTATAACAAATATTTTCATTAGATCTAGTTTCCTTGCTGCGAGTTTGATAATATAAGGATATGAAAGCCCTGAAATGTTCAGAATAAAGTAGAACCCCTTTCTATGCTATATATAATGTATGCAGTTTCCGACAAATCTTTGAGACTAGAAATAACAAAATACCATAACCTTTTTATTAGATTTACGTTTAAGGATTTAATTTTAGGCTTAAAGGAGATTCTAGAGATATTTTATACTTTTACTGAGATTATTTTTAATGTCCTAATGATATACTGTTGAATTAGAATTTTATTATACTTGATTTCACGACAATATCAAAGCAAAAATAAGTATTCAAGTGAAACTTTCATCAAGTAAATGGTTCACTATTTCAGAGATTCTAATTCATGAAAATATTCCTTAATAACGTCAATGTTTGCTAGGCATAAGAAATGATATTATTTACATTTTCAATCATTTTATTTCTGTTTGTAATGCTTTGATTGTGTTAGATTTATCTGAACAGTTACAGTCAATCCATTTGGTCTAACTAGTTCTTTGTTCCATATAAGTACTATTGTGCTCCTTTTCTCTTTACACGTTCCCCCCCTCCTTTGATCAGTTATTTATAACTTAAAAATTCCAGAATCACAAAGCAACACATACATATATTTACATATTGATCTTAACAAAACCTATTTAAAAAATATTGAAAATACATATATTATCCAGAAAATGATTAAGAAAGAACAATGACTCTTCCTAATTCATTTCTATATATTGGTTGTTTGAATCTTTCCATGGACGTTTTAGACTGCAATTGACCAGTCTCTTATTGGCATATGTGCATTCTGTGCAGATTACCCCGATATTGCCTTAGATCACTAGGATTATAACCGGAAATGGGTGGTAGCTAACACAGGAATCCAGAACGTGTGTTTCGTTTTACTTGAGACTCATCAGCTGGATGTATCTAAGTGAATAACGTGATGGCGTTTAAAGTGGATGGTATTGAAGTTGAATTCTAGAATTGGTATTAACTTTAGGATGCACATAAATTTAGCTGACAAGCCCCAAATGTGATGAAACAATCATCCTGGATTCCACTGTTAGCCACCATGAATCTCTGCTTTAAATGACTGTTTCTGGTACATTCTACATATTCTTGGCATACCCACGCTTCCCCATGGCCAGTATTGATTGAAAGCAGCAATTGTCTTTAAAGGAAAACCAATCACTGCTGAAAACCCAAAATCAGAAATAGCCAGATTAATAATCAAAGCCCATTGTAGATTGATTGATGATTTTGGTCTGAAAACAACAAAGAGTATGTTCAACAGATAATTCAATAACGTTTAACTCACAATAAAACATAAATTAATACATAAAGTAAAATAATCTCAACGAACTTATTTTCTTTCACGGCATAATCGTATGATTTAACTTTTTAATTTATTATTATATTTTAAAATGCACGAAATCGGAGTATGACCGAGTTCTCTATTCGTGCTTTATTTTACAGCTATGTAGATTTATCTGACATATTATAAATAAATATTATCCTTACAAATAGTGAATATATTATTTTATATCGGTAGTAAAACGAGAACTTTTCAATAAGCTGGGAAAATCTCTCGTTTTATAGTTTATTTATGAAATAGCAATTGGGTCGTGAGTCCACTACTAAGCTATTCAAATGTCTGTATATTTCGCTGTTAAACAAGAAATTCGCACTTATGCTATGTGATACAGTAATGTTTCAGTTAATGAATCAGTTGTTAAAATACCCTCCTTTTTGTATTATGACTTATATTTGTTAACAGGAAGAAAGAAAGCTTTCGTCAGTACTTCGGACTGCTTATCATCGATATGCGTATTGTTTCTAATTGAACAGTGACAGTGAATTTTCGATCATCGATTTCATTTGTTTATCACTTCGCACATTGATTTCGGACAGTAGTTTCGCTTCTTCAATGGCAATATAAATACTTATAATGACTAAAAATTCTTTAGTGAAATCTCTTTGTTAATAAGTTACATTTTAGCGTGAGTTTTATCTGTCTCAAAACTAACGGGTATAAAATACTTCAGCGAGACTACATTTTATGGAGCGGTGCTAACGTTACTTAGAGTAAATTTGCCAACCTATCACTGTTGAAAAGGGCAATAAATTAGTGTGAGAAATTAGAACTACGATGAAGTGTTAAGAGCTGGAGTTAGAAATTACGACATTTATTACGTACTGAAATCAGCTATCATGCCCAGATGCTTTTGAATCATCTAAATGAATTAATTTCAAGTCAAACTTCAAAACATTCTATCTTTAATTTCATTGGGTCGTCCACAAATCATAGTCCCTTTAATACATCAACGAAACATCGACTACCATAAGTGTGAAAATAGCTTTTATGTCGGCAAATTTATCATGTATCAAAATAAAATGATTACATTATACATACTACTAGTGTTTACGCACTTAAAAATATCTTAACTATACGCTATGAATATTACCTACACCTGTTACTCCTCGTGAAGGAGCATAGGTCGCTCACCAGCATTCGCCATCCAACCCTGTCCTGGGCAATCCTTTCCAGCTCCTTCCAGTTCTTATTCATCCTTATCATATCTGCTTCTATTATCCGACGTAATGTGTTCTTTGGCCTTCCTCTTCTCCGCTTCCCTTCAGGATTCCAAGTTAGAGCTTGCCTCGTGATGCAGTTTGACGATTTGCGTAATGTATGTCCCATCCATTTCCATCGTCTTTTCCTAGTTTCCTCTTCAGCTGGTAGTTGGTTTGTTCTCTCCCACAGAAGGCTATTGCTGATGGTATCCGGCCAATGGATGTTGAGTATCTTGCGTAAACAGCTATTTATAAATACTTGTACTTTCTTGATTGTGGTTGTTGTAGTTCTCCAAGTTTCAGCTCCATACAGTAGAATTGCCTTGACGTTCGTATTGAAGATTCTCACTTTGATATTGGTTGAAAGTTGTTTTGAGTTCCATATGTTCTTCAATTGTAGGAATGCGGCCCTTGCTTTGCCAATCTTCGCCTTTACGTCTGCATCTGAACCTCCTTGTCTATCGACGATGCTTCCCAGATATGTGAAGGATTCTACATCTTCCAGAGTTTCGCCATCAAGGGTGATTAGATTGCTGTTCTCCGCTTTGAATTTGAGGACCTTGGTTTTCCCTTTGTGTATACTGAGGCCTACTGATGCAGAGACTGCTGCTACACTGGCTGTTTTCATCTGCATCTGTTCGTGTGTACGTGATAGGAGGGCTAGGTCATCTGCGAAGTCCAGATCGTCTAATTGGTTCTGAGCTGTCCATTGTATTCCGTGTTTTCCTTCAGATGTCGAGGTCTTCATAATCCAGTCGACCACCAGAAGAAAGAGGAAGGGAGAGAGTAAACAGCCTTGTCTGACTCCGGTCCTTACTTGGAATGCATCTGTCAGCTGTCCTCCATGCACTACTTTGCACTGTAGTCCGTCGTATGAGTTCCGGATGATATTGACAATCTTCTCAGGAACTCCGTAGTGTCGAAGAAGTTTCCATAATGTCCTCCTATTTACACTGTCGAATGCCTTTTCATAATCAATGAAGTTGATATATAGTGACGAGTTCCACTCAACTGATTGTTCGACGATGATCCGTAGTGTCGCAATTTGGTCTGTGCACGACCGATCCTTTCGGAATCCAGCTTGTTGATCTCGAAGTTGGGCATCTACTGCATCCTTCATCCGGTTCAGCAACACTCTGTTAAAAACTTTCCCTGATATTGACAGTAGTGTAATGCCTCTGTAGTTTTCACATTTGCTCAGATCTCCTTTCTTTGGAATCTTGATGAGGTGTCCTTCTTTCCAGTCCATTGGCACTTGTTCCTCCTCCCAAATCTTTTTGAATAGAGGGTAAAGCATGCTTGTGGTTACTTCGACGTCTGATTTCAGTGCTTCAGCTGGCATGTTGTCGGGTCCTGCTGCTTTCCCGTTCTTGATTTGTCTGACGGCCATTCTAATTTCTTCCGTCGTTGGTGGGTTGACATCTATAGGAAGATCTGTGTGTGCTGCTTCGATGTTCGGTGGATTCATTGGAGCCGGCCTATTCAGGAGTTCCTCGAAGTATTCTACCCATCTGTTTCGCTGCTGTTGAATTTCAGTGATTGGCTTGCCTTTGTCTTTGACCGGCCTCTCTGGTTTACTGTATTTCCCTGATAGTTTCTTCGTTGTATCGTAGAGCTGTTTCATATTTCCTTCTCTTGCAGCTTTTTCTGCCGTCGTTGCTAATTCTTCCACGTATTTCTTCCTGTCGGCGCTAATGCTCCTCTTCACTTGTTTGTTTGCCTCTATGTATTCAGCTTGTGCTTGAACTTTCTCTGCTCGTGTTCGGCTTTTGTTTATTGCTGCCTTCTTGTTCTTCCTTTCTTTGATCTTGTCCAGAGTTTCTATAGAGATCCATTCCTTATGATGGTGTTTCTTTAGGCCCAGAACCTCTTGACACGTTGAAGTTAATGCTTCATTGATGCCTTTCCAGTTGTCCTCCATGGTAGTTTCTTCTTCCTTCAGTAGATCTTGAAAGGCTTGGAATCTGTTGTTGAGAGCTATCTTGAATTCATTGCGTTTGTCAGTATCTCGAAGGAAGGCTGTATTGAACCTTTGTAGTGCTGTTTGTCCACTTGTCCAGTACTTTTTTAGCTTCAGTTTTAAATTGGCTACAGCTAGGTGGTGATCTGAAGCTACGTCAGCTCCTCTCCTGGTTCTCACATCTTCCATTGTCCTTCGGAATTTTTTGTTGATGCAAATATGGTCTATCTGGTTCTCTGTAGTGTGGTCCGGTGAGATCCATGTAGACTTGTGTATACGTTTGTGTGGAAATATTGTGCCTCCTATGACTAATTTGTTGAATGCACACAAATTTGCAAATCTTTCTCCATTTTCGTTCCTCTCTCCCAGTCCATGTCGTCCCATAATATCTTCATATCCAGTGTTGTCTATTCCGACCTTGGCATTTAGATCTCCCATCAGAATGGTGAGGTCCTTTTTTGAGCATTTCTCTATGATTGACTGCAGCCGCTCGTAGAAAATGAAAAACTGATTGTCAACATCCATTTTAAGGGGTGCGAGTAAATGGATGATTATCAAAAAGGCCGAGTGGAAAGTAGGGCACGTTAATAAGGGTGACCATCAAAAAGGCTTTTATTATTTGAGATAAGCAATAGAAAGAGAAATAAAACTTGTAAGTGTGTGAGATCTGCTCTATATATTTCATGTTCCATTATTTTTGTGATCAATCGAAAACGTACTTTTCAACATCTAGTGAAGAGTCTATTTTCAACGAATTTTGTAATTTTTCGAATTTGATGACAATTTGTAATTCTTATTACCCCAGAGAATGTTATGTCATATCTATATTTTGAACAGCCAGTGGGAAATTTTTGTAAAGGGAGGTTTGTGTGTACTGAATTTTAGACAGAATAAGCTTTCGATAGACAATAAATCAACAATTATCTCTCACACATTGGTTTTATCTTATTATTTTACTTTTCGGTCACTATGCGAACTTATTTTGACCCTTGGAATTATGTACTACTCCTTATATTTTACGACAGATTACTTTAAAATAATATCGTTGAAAGTAAATTTTTCTTCACTGAATTATCTTTAACTCTTCTCAAATCATAATTTTTCAGAATATTTTGGTTATAAATAAATCGAAGAAGAGAATACTGAACCTTTGGTTAGTTATGTCACTGAACGTCACTGACCATCGTGGTGTCAGCCCAAAGGTGATCTCCTTATGATACTAATAAAATTTGCCAATTTACACCACATAATAAGCCACTTCTCATTTAAAATGTAATTTATCAATACTACGTTTACAAGTAGAATATTATATTCTAGGATTATTAATTATTTGCAACACAATAATTATCAAGACTGTTCTGCTGTAGGGCTTTAACTAAATAACCTTTTTTTGTCTAGTAAACTTTTTGACATTTCACTCATCAAAAATAATTATTGTTTCAAAGTTGTGGTACTCCATGTTTGAAAAGTTCGAGTTTAACTAATCAGAAAAGAAGACTGCAAGTGGACCCCAACCCATCATGTCGGTAACTATTCAGCCTATAAGGGAGATATATGAATATAAAAAATGGCTGTCTGAAATAGTAGTACTAAATAACATGACTGGAGTAATAAGAATTACAAATTGTCATCAAATTCGAAAAATTACAAAATTCGTTGAAAATAGACTCTTCACTAGATGTTAAAAAGTACGTTTTCGATTGATCACAAAAATAATGGAACATGAAATATATAGAGCAGATCTCACAAACTTACAAGTTTTATTTCTCTTTCTATTGCTTATCTCAAATAATAAAAGCCTTTTTGATGGTCACCCTTATTAATATGCCCTATTTTCGACTCGAACTTTTAGACACTGACCACTGTATTAATATGAATAAAAACTGTTGTCATATTCCTGATGTTTTAAGCATGTGCAAAAAATGAAACATCTGAGTTTTCCTTCCTTTTTAATTGTCACCTTCAGTTAAATAATGTATTTATTTATTAAGGAAGCTGAAATTTCAATGACCTAGATTGTTTTCTTATCCCTATTCAACATGCCGATAATTGAATTATCACTGTTTCAATGAATAATTTATTTGAAAATGTATACATGTTCAACAAAGTTGCTTATAAGATAATAATTATTACTCTTTTCAAATTACACCAATCCTCATAACCCAAGAATTTACAGGAATGAACACAAAAAACATTATCACTGCTATTGGTAAAAACTACTAAATCAAGATAAACATTATAATTATCTCAATTGAAAATTTATGGAATAATGTTTCATTGCTAACTGTAAATTAATATCATTTCTTTGACTTAATTAAACATACTGTTTACAATATGCTCAAATACCTTCTAATTCTCAATAAATCTTTACTTATTGAATAAGGCATTAATTTAAATCCTAATATCGTTATATTAAAATACTAAGTTTTGTCTTCCAGCAGACTATTGAATGGATTATCAATCTCTTCATGATAGCTTACTTCAATAATATTGCATGATTTTGACTGGATAACTCTATTTGGTAATATTTTTTATCATGAATTATGATCCATCAATGAGAAATTGAAAACTGAGAAGCAGTAAACAACTATTTTTTCTTATAATCATAGAAGGGTTTTGTGGATATTATAGTAATTTAATAGTTGGATTCATGAGTCAGTTGAAGCTAGACCACCATGGAAAACCTGGAAGCATTGGACGGCCGTTTCGTTTTAGTTTGGTATCCCTAAGAACTTGTAAAGGTTGTTATAGCCATGATACCCTTTGACTATGGAGTGAAACCTGAGTGCTTGGTATTTCCAACTTCAATTAATTTATAACATAACTTTAAAATCATTTAGCACACCTGTTGTAACCTCACGGTTCAATCCGGTCACAATTATATGCCTTTCAACTCGACTAATTCTGTTGTTTAATAACAAAGAAAATAAAAATATCTGAGAAGCTTTATTCTGAAGGCCGAATCCATCTGTACATAACGCATAGGAATATACATGCATCTCTATACTGACCCGAACAAGAATAAATGGACCGTGATTTTAAATACTTTACTTAAAAAACCATGGCTAAGATTGTATTTTTCACGAATTGATTCAACCATGTATTTGACAAGTCAGTATACATCTACTTATAAGGACTGTTTTGATAGTTCAATAAATGTTTTCTAATGTTAATGCTGTTGCATTTTGACAAAAATCTTTGAAAATAATGCTAAGAAGAATTGTTAAATAATTTATCGTGATATGATTATGTTGTATGTTGCATGAAATAATGAAAAAGACAACAATTTGAAGTTGGTAGTATGTTGTAACACGACAAAAGTTCACAAAAATATTATATGAAGTTACTAATAGTTTTTATACTCCTGCAGGAACCATCATTCACAGTCGGTATATAGCATTCTTTTTCACTGGATATTTGGCCTCTGTATTGCTTTGATTAACTTATCATGACAAAACTTCATCAGTAGCGGAAGTTTGTAGTTTACAATAATGATAGATATTGCTAAATCTTTTTAACAGTAAAATAATACACTTTAATTTTCTAATATCATTTTATTTGTAAACGAGATAATATCTATGAATACCTGTGCCTCGACCCTCCGTAAGTCTAGAAAGTTGTACGAAGAAAAAATTGTTAAGGAATCCATAGAATGTCCTAAACGCTGGTATTCCTTTATAAACCAAAGGACAAAAAGAAGAGGAAATATTCCTGCACTATGGGAAGACAGTACTGTCGCATCATTAGTGGAGGACGACTTTGGTAAGGCTCAAGTGTTCTCAAAATAATTTAGCGATGTATATACCATAGAAGCACCCTTCCCGTCAGCGCATACAAATCCCCTCACACATACACTGGATAGCATGACCATTAAGGAACTCGATGTCTTTGTTCTGCTAAATAAGTTTGACAGGTAAATCCACGGGGACCGGTGAATTGCATCCTAGGCTACTAAAGGAATTATCTGACTTCGTTGCAAACCCTTTAAGCATATGTGTTAATCTATTCGTAACGCAGGGTCGTTTACCAAAAGACTGGAAAAACGCCATAGTAAGTCCTGTCTTCAAAACAGGTACGAAACACAAACCTGAGAATTACCGACCCGTTAGCCTAACTAGTGTGGTTGTTAAAATCTTAGAAAAGATTATTCGGAAGGAGCTGTTTAAGTATCTCGATAAAAACCGGATCCTCTTGGAGAAGCAGCACGGTTTCAGGATAGGTTACTCTTGTCTCACTAACTTATTAGTGGCTCGTGAAAGCTGGTGAGCTCTTAAGGACCAAAAGTTACCTGTTGACGTGGCCTTCGTTGATTTCAGCAAAGCTTTTGACAAGGTTCCGCACAACCGGCTGTTATATAAGTTAGGAAATGTCGGGATTGGAGGCAATCCATTCATGTGGATAAAAGAATTCTTAGTTGGGCGTCAACAAAGAGTTCAGGTGAACTCAAAGTTATCTAGCTGGGGAACTGTGCTTAGTGGAGTGCCTCAGGGTACAGTTTTGGGGCCAGTGCTATTCCTCTTGTATGTAAATGATCTTCCTCGTCTCCTATCTTCATCGGTCTTGCTATATGTTGACGATGTCAAGATATGGACAGCGATACGAAGTAAGGGTGATAGCTTAGAATTCCAAAATGACCTGAAGAAATTATCTGAATGGTCTCAAACCTGGCAGCTGCCGATAAATACTTCCAAGTGTGTTGTGATGCATATCGGTCATCAAGGTACGGACACATACACAATGAATAACACTGAGCTACCTGTTGTCCAAACACATAATGATTAAGGAGTCATCGTTAGCCAAGACTTAAAAACTACTGCACACTGCCGTGCAACAGCCGCCAAAGGTTTTAGAACTTTATGGTCAATACGTAGGGCTTTTAGTCATGTCGACGCTAAGACGTTTTTGACTTTGTATAAAGTGTTCGTACGTCCTAAACTTGAGTACTGCATACAAGCGACCAGCCCTTGCTTAGAAAAGACAGTGAGCTTCTGGAAAAGGTTCAGAGAACGGCGACTAAGCTGATTCCCAGAATAGCGAAGCTTCCGTATGATGCTCTACTGGTCACGCTAAACCTTTTCCCGTTGTCATATCGTAGAACTATAGGCGACTTGGTCACAGTTTTCAAATTGCTTAGTGATAAATTTGCACCTGATATGCCCTCATTTTTCTTTTCTTCCAAAACAGAGGATTTACGAGGACACTTCAAAAAAGTTCACAAGCCCAGAAGAAATTACTTGTCATTTCACTATCGACTTTCCGACTGAATCATCAACGAGTGGAATTCATTACCTCAGCACGTAGTTGAGGCTCCCTCCGTCGACTCTTTGAAAAGAAAGTTGGATCACCTGAGGCCACCATTGCCAGGACTAACACAGGCCATCAAGCCTCCTGTCCTTTCCAAACTGAAACTGAATTCTTGACTATTTTACATCGCAAAGTTTATGTTGAATTACATGTATATTTATAGTTAGAAAATCTTTTGGAAACAGACATCTTGTTGTTGTTGTTGAAAATTCATATTTTCCTACCATTTTAAACAAAATTGAGACTGTGAAGGCAGAGTTTCGAATAAAAATAACAATTAGATGACTTTCAGTATAAAAGTGTGGAGAATACTAAGTTTCTGATTGAGATCGTGAACTGATTGATGTTACAACACTATTGAAAACCTGGAAGCATTGGACGGCCGTTTCGTCCTATTGCGGAATTGCTCAACAGTACGGGTCCACGATCCCGCGAGTGTAATTCGAACCCAGGGACTTCAGTCTCACGCGCGAACGCTTAACCTCTAGACCACTGAGTCGGAATTCAACAGTGTTAATGTCTAACCTCAACCAATTCACGAAATTGCATGACTATCTTCCATTGTATTGAGGTAGATACTTGTCTCAACCTAAAATGGATTAGCTCCACTATTCACAGCTTCCCACTAGAACTTCGAGAATTCCCTCACGAAGTCATTCACTAGTAAGCACATAATATGATTTACTTGAAATAATCATTATCCTTCCTAGAATTAAATTAAGAATGACAAATAAACCTTAAAATTATATTCACATTCTTTATTTATATAATACAAATATATCATAAATGTAATAAACGTAACTTACGTTAAAAACACAAATATTACAAATAAATTTGTTATTGTTCCAACAATTCCAATTAATGCAACAAGTATTGCAATGAAATAATTATAAATAGGATCTGGTTGTGTATAACTAGTCCAATGATTCAACATTATAATATCTGAATCATAAATATTAACTTTAATCATGGAGAATGTTCGATTAAAATATGATCGTGTAAAATTTTTTATTTCTGACATAATAACTTATCTAAAGTAAATTTAAACAAAAAAAATTAAGGGGGAATATTTGAAATTGTAAGTAAACAAGTAAAAAAAACATGATCAAAATAAATTCACTTGATATTGTTTACTTGAATCTTCCTATTGATGTTTACGACTGCAATTGATCAGTCTCTTATTAGCATATGTGCATACTGTGCGTATTGCCTCGATATTGACTTGATTCACAAACATTATAAGCAAAGATGGATAGTGCACAAGCAAGTGGCTATCAGGACTCAGAAGCTAAGTGAACAACACGATGGCGTTTGAAGTAAATGGTAATGGATTCGAGTCCCATAGTGAATTAATAAAAATATGAAGAGATAAGTAATTATAGTAAATGAAAAACTGAAAGAAAACATTTTTCATAATTGTTTATTAAAACAAAAGAAAGTGGTTAATAAAAAAACAAATTCCTTTCATCCTTGAATTTGTGGCATCGTGAATGTAAACATATCTTTATAATGGTAATATTTATTGAGGTAGCATTTTGAAGAACATATGGAACTCAAAACAACTGACAATTAACATCAAAGTTAGAACTAACGGCAAGACAGTTCTAATGAACGGAGATGAAACTTGGAGAACTACTACAGCTATCACTAAAGACGTACACGTATTTATAAACAGTTGTCTACGCAAGATATTCAACATCTGTCGACCGGATACCATCAGCAACAGCCTTCTGTGGGAGAGGACAAACCAGCTTCTAGCTGAAGAGGGAATCAGGAAAAGACGTTGGAAGTGGATAGGACATGCATTACGGAAATCACCAAACTGAATCACGAGACAAGCCCCAACTTGAAATCTGAAGGGAAACGGAAAAGAGGAAGACCGAGGAACAAACTGCGCTGGGAATTGAAAGCAGACATGGAAATGATGAGTAACAGCTGGAAGTAACTGGAAGGGGTCGTTCAGGACAGAGTTCGATGGAGGATGCTGATGGGTGGCCTATGCTCCTCTATGGAGGGTAACAGGCGTAAGTAAGTAACATATATAAATAAAGAAACGTCACATCACATTGGATGAAAGAAACTTATTTAACCCCTCTCCTTTTTCTAGTTGTAAATTTAGGTTTTGTGAATTATCACCGTCTACTTTCTAATCCAAAAGAGATGTATTCTAGTTTCTATTGTCATTTTGACTATGTGTTACTTTCAAGTTTATCTTACCATGGTACGTAACTCATTCTTTCCTATTATCATTCTCCAAGAAAAATTGAGGGACTCAAACCGTACAAAAGGTGATAACGTTAATTATTCTGTCTCAGAATCTGAATTTTTTAACCATAAGATCAACTAGGATTGTATACAACTAGCACCAGTGGTTCACTCACATCACGAATGAATTAGACTGCTAAATTCACCATATTTATATAGATTTATAATTAGTTTCCTGTTAGTGTTAATACATAAATCTAACTAATCCTTCCAGTAAACTGCTTTGTAACATGAAACATTACATATTTAACATGTCAACCCATATGAAAATTTAATTCCCATTCTTTATCAATGAACTCCTAAAACATGTTTATAAATGTTTCTAGAAACCCTGAGAAGCCGAAAATTGCCACAAATTGTTTTAAGGCAGTCAGGAATCTGGAAACTTCGTGCCGAAGTGTGAAAGCCTGTGTGTTTATAATTTGATTGATAAAGCAGTTATGTCATTGTTAGTTTTGGGATCTTTCTGACATCCCTTTAAAACTTTAATAGCACCGGTAACGATTTCAAAATACAGTTAGTTACTGCAACTGAAGTTGTCTTGAAAAAAACATTCGTTAAATTTCTGCAATCATATTTTGTTAGAATCTTGAAGGTTGTAGATTTTTGTGTTCTAAGAAAGTAATGAGGGAGTCATCTTTATCGTAATTCATTCTAGTACCTCTAATAGTGGATTAATTATAGAGTGGACCTATATTCAATATCCTAAAAGCATTGAATAGACCACAGAGACAAGTTATAAAAATTCAAGTTAAATTACCTTGTAAAATCACTTAAGTAATTCACCATGAATTATTGATCTGTAATAGCTGGAATATTTGTGAGTGTTTGTGTCTTCTCGTTGTTGATTTTCAGGGACTGCGACTGATCAGTCGCTTTTGGTATATATGCTTCCTTAGCAGTTTGCTTCGATATTATCATGTAATCATAAGCAATTTTTAGGAAAGTTAGATAGTGCTTAAGAGTGAAATCCACAACACACGCTTCGTCCTATTGGAAACCGAAAATAGGATGACGGTCTAGCGCGAGACGCATTAAGCGTTTGAAGCAAAATATCCTGGGTTCAAGTCTCTATGTGAGGATTAACAGCAGGATTCAAGTACTTCCAGATAACAAGTTCAAAGTATAGCGAAATGCCAGTTCTGAATTCCAGTGTTAGCTACCATTCTACTTCACTAAAATACCTACATATTAGCCCTGGTAAAATATAGTTCTATTTTAATTCCATAATTCTGTTTCAATGAAAGTAAAATGAATTATGTTAATATCTTGTTTAATTTATTCCAAAAAACGCATTGTTAATTTATCATTATTTGGAATTTTATGTAATAATTTTCAATATTAGGACTAACTTACAACCATTAACCTTTTGAAAACTCCTGCCACACAAACGACATTTAAGTTATATTATCAAAATAATTCATAATGTTTACTATTTTCACAATACATATCGTAATATTAAAAATTTTGTTTTGTGAAAATTTTTAAAAATATCACTGGTTGAAATCATGAGTCTATTGAAGCTAGACCACCATGGAAAACCTGGAAGCACTAGACGGCCGTTTCGTCCCAGTATGGGACTCCGCAGCAGTGAGCATCCACGATCCCGCACCCCGCGGGATCCGAATCCAGGACCTACTGGTTTCGCGAGCGAGCACTTAACCACTAGACCACTGAGCCGGCATCCAGTGGTGTTAATGTCTAACTTCAACCAATCTAGGAAGTTGCCTCACCGTACACCATTGTCTTCAGTGAGTTCCTATCTCACAACAGACCTGGTTGTATTCATCAACTTACTATGAGAAATAAAATTTTGTAATTGCCATTATGCTAAAAGCCTCTTATAATGCTGTTCGCAAATACAAAATATAATTATGATCAACTAAAAAGGTTTTGTTTTAATGGATGTTTTCATTTTATCCAAAACGTTTTATTGTGTACTTTATTGTTACTAATCAATTATCTAAGTAGCATATATTAACATGAAGCTCGTTATTTGACAACTTATCAGATCATTTTAATAAATAGAATATATCAGAACCTATGGGTATGTTAAACAGTTTGGTTGTTTAAACTTTAACTGATAAAAATTATGAAAAGTTATAAGTGATTACATAACTCATCAATGACTAGTGAAGAAATAAACCTTATAAAAGAAGAAACAGCACTAAATAAAACCATATAGAATCATAAACAATCAATATTACACCTCCTTGTACTTAGTAATGATTCTTTAGAGAAGAAAAAAAGAAGTACTTTCGTGTTGAGAGTAATTTACGGATACTCAAAACATGGTTATTCCTTCAGTTCTTTATATTTTTTTCTTCAGATAAAATGAATATGGTAAATAACATATAGATGATCTACTTTAATTAAAGAATGAGATTAAAATGTTTCATTCCCTATATTGAATATCTTTCTTTTAATAATTCTAAAACAAATTCACTTTAAAGAGGAAGAATGTATTTGTAAAATCTCATCGAAAGAATTTGAAGTAAATCCAACGTTTCGCCTGGCAATCTGGTTCAAGCTTTTTCACTTTAATTTCACACCCATTAAACAAGAATAATAAATGTATAGAAATGTAAATTACAATGGGTTCATAATTTATAGCCTCTATTTAAGTTATTATAACTAAGTGGTACCATTTATATAAATACCAAGTACGTTAATATAACATTCTGTGATTGAAATTTTATTGAGTTTATGAATTAGCAGTTTAATAAAATAATTTTTTTGAAAAATTATATGATTCTTACTATGACCAAGGTAATATCGAGGCAATACACACAGTATGCACATATGCCAATAACAGACTGATCAATTGCAGTTTAAAACTTCGATGGGAAGATACAAGCCAAACAATACCAAGTGAATTATAACCAAGTTTGTTTTGTTTTTTTCGTAATTGTATACTCATCTCACAGGGGTTTTTTCATAAAAGAATTATGATCATACTGAAAAAAATAGCCATATAAACGTATTAATTCATTTTCAATATCGATTGAGTACTAGAGGATCATTTCGTTGCAGTAAAAACACTCTCTAAAACATTATACTGATAATTATCATTAATATTTTATAGTTTTGTAAGCAAATTCACAATTATGTTTGGAATTAGGTTGGTGATAAGTTAAAATAACTCAAGTAGTCTATAGTTATTACATAGATTAATGTTTAAGAGTAATAGATAAATGATAGTTAGGAATGCTTAGTTTATACATTTTGTAAATTTTTTTTACCAAAGTATAAAATTAAATTGAACCATCAACAGATTTACATATTTTCCAGTAGCACTTCGTCTAATCAAAACTATCAATTCCTCCTAGTCTATCAAGTATTATGCTCTTCAAACTCAAAATAAAACTATGAAAATAAATACAATAAAAATATTAGACTATCGATTTAAATAAGAAAGATTAGTTCAGCAAAGAATTCTCTTTTCGGCGAATTCATTTTCAAAGCTGTGCAATCACAATTATATACACTTATTTTTACAGGATGATAATAATAATGATAGTAAACTTCTGCTAGACATGGTGACAGTGAAGTAGAATATATAAAGGTATTTAAAAAATTTTAAACAAGGAAAACTTAATATTCATTTGATTGTTAATGGTTTAAGCATTCATCAAAAGATAAATAGGGAAATTATCATTGAGAAAGAATTGCTCAGCATGATAAAATAAAATGTTGAAATTGAGATTAAATGTGATCAGGAGGATCGTAGAAATAGAAATAAACCAGTTGGGGATA